GCTCTCTGAACAGAGTCCAGTCTAGGTCGTTAGACTCATAGAACCCTAGAACGGGAAGGGACCTTGATAGGTTGTCAACTCCAGTCCCGTGCCCTCATAGCAGGACCAAGCACCGTCTAGATCAGGGGTTCCCAACCTGAGGTCCGCACACCCCCAGGGGGTACGAGAAGCTTGTCAAGAGGGTACGGGGAATATTTGGTAAATAACTAGATCAATGGTCCCCAACCTTTTCGCCCGGGGGCAGGGCCGGCACCACTCCTGTCCCACACGCCCAGGGGCGGGGATGCCCATACACCGCGTGCCCAGGGTCGGCACAGCCCATGCACCTTATGCCCGGGGGTACATGGGCTGTGCATCCGGGGCTGGCGCTGTGCACTCAGGGGCGGGGCCGGCCCCGATCACTCGGCGGGTGCACAGAAATGGCCCGGCGGGCACCATGGCACCCGTGGGCACCACGCTGGGCACCACTGAACTAGATTATCCTAACTGAAATATTCCAAAAGTAGTAGTGTGAGTGAAAAAAGTTGTGGATTCTAGAGTCTAGAATTTAGTTCCTTTCATATTGAATAGGGGGTACGGGAAGGTTTACTAAAAGCCAGAGGGGCGCGGGGACCGAGAATGGTTGGGAACCCCTGGTCTAGATCATCCCTGATGGATGTCCATCCAACCTGCTCTTAAATATCTCCGGGGATGGAGATTCCACAACCTCCCTAGACAATTTATTCTGGTGTTTTTCCTCATGTCCCACCTACACCTTCCTTGCTGCAATTCAAGCCCATTGCTGCTTGTCCCCTCCTCTTTACATCCTCACGCACTCCCTAATTTATCCTACGCCCTCCTGTGGCACAGGCCGTTCGTATTATCTCAGTTCCATCGATCGGGCCTATGCTGTGCTTAAGTGACGGACCCCACAAACGCAACGAGGATTAGCTTGGCTTTTGGAGATTGCTAGTTCTCATTATCCAGCTCTGCCCACTAATCCACATAGCTGCACCGCAATAATGATGGAACCGCCCAATCACAATGGCCATTGGCCAGACAACCACACCTCCCGAATTCAACCCGTCAATTCAGTTGAATGCTCCCATGAAGAATTGCTAGTTGCTGGTTACTCGCTGCAGGAGATGAGCCGCAAATGCATTTCATTGTGAAAGAAGTGTGTGATAGATTAATATATTTTAGTACGTGGAATCACTGCACTGCGATTTGAAACATAATTTCAGTTATAGCTTTGTTACCACACTGCGCCTCTCCGTTAACAGAGAGCTGGGCTGTGAAATGCAAAAAGAACATGCCAACACATTTTTGTTTTTTAAATTTCTTCCCCCAGAGCTCTTGTCTAGGAACAAGACCATCTAGGAGCGTCATCCGATTTCAAAGTTTACAGACTGTCTCATGAAAGAGATTGTGTGAATCACGTATAGATGTGCAAAGATTTAGAATGTTCCCCAGGCATAATTTGAATATGCAAATATGTCATCGTTCCTAACTGGATGGGAGATGAAGAAGGGTGTAAAATGACTCTTGGATCCCAAAGGAAACGTTTGGCAAAGAATTTGGTTTCATATATACAAGACCTGCTTAGAACCATCCTCTCACCCCCTTTAGCTGAAGTTAAGAGCAGACATAAGAACATAAGAACGGCCGTACTGGGTCAGACCAAAGGTCCATCTAGCCCAGTATCCTGTCTGCCGACAGTGGCCAGCACCAGGTGCCCCAGAAAGGGTGGACTGAAGACAATAATCAAGCGATTTGTCTCTTGCCATCCCTCTCCAGCCTCTGACAAACAGAGGCCAGGGACACCATTTCTATCCCCTGGCTAATAGCCTTTTATGGACCTAACCTCCATGAAATTATCTAGCTTCTCTTTAAACTCTATTATAGTCCTAGCCTTCACAGCCTCCTCTGGCAAGGAGTTCCACAGGTTGACTCCGCGCTGTGTGAAGAAGAACTTTCTTTTATTAGTTTTAAACCTGCTACCCATTAATTTCATTTAATTCACCCAGGAATTTCACCAGCCAATTACAGAGAGTGTGAGTGAAATTGACCTTCATCTGAAATTTGACACTGTTTCCCTGGGCTTGGACAAAGGCATTAACTGGATGTCGCATTATAAAGCCAGCCTCCTCTGCCTTTAACATCTGCATTATTACATCAAAAGCTAGGAATGGGACACTTCCAGCCCACTTCATCAACCTCGTTAGCATGGGTCCTACAACTGACAGGTACTTTTCCCCGCCCTGTTATAAAATACTTGGTTTCTGTTTGCGTTCCAGCTCATCATCTGTGGAAGTGGGTTTTTCCCCACAGAAGCTCATGACACTAAATATTTTTGTTAGTCTACACAGCAAAGTTATTTCGGGAACCAGAGGTATCCCAAAACAACCACCCCACATCTTTTGAACATGTCCGCTATTTCGAAATATAGCGGACGCACTATTTCGTCAACCCTGTAAACCTCATTCTACGAGGTTTCTTTTGAAATAGCGCTTTCTTTTGAAATCTGGCGCTGTGTAGGCAGCACCAAATGATGAAAGAAGCTCTTTTGAAATAGACTCGAAGTAAGATACACAATTTGCGTATCTTATTTCGAGTTTCAGGTGCCGTGTAGACACACCTTAAGGTGCCACTGGGCTCCTCGTTGACCATAAAATAGATCCCTAACGAAAACAAGAAGTGAATACTTAATTACAAGTGACTTAGGCTTATCCAAGCAGCAATTTTAACCTGCACTCCATCAATTCTAACAGGCTTTTCCCTAATTATTGTAACATACGATACAAACAATAGCCCAAACAATTCATCCCAGCAGCTCCCTTGTCTAAGATTACTATGCTTTTCTTAGGCCAGAATCTGCCCAGTGCCTTACTGAAAGAAACCACGTTTTTATACTGATTATATGTAATTGACTTCATGGTCTGAGGGTCAGATTTTACGCCGCTATTTTTCTCATGCAACGAAACACTAAAATGCCTCAGCATGGAGTACGCCATTCTCCGTTTTTCAAACCCCTGACTTGACTAGAACACAGCGGTAGGTTTCTCCTGAGAATAAACAATACCAGCTGGCGGATAGTCACATGCTGCGGTCCCTGTAAGAACCAGCCCTTTGAGGAAATGCTGCCAGACGCATTCCTCTCGGGCTGATCTACTCAGAGGTGAGTAAAGACGTTTGTGAGGTCGAACCTAAGCTGGAGTTTACACCTTTCTCCCCGTGCGCCACGAAAAATGATGCAGGGGAAAAAAAATTGTGTTCTACATCAGGACATGACAATAGCAGAATGTTTATTTTCTTCACAGGGCTAGGAAATGTTTGATGAAGTGCGTCCATGCTGGGTCAGACCAAAGGTCCATCTAGCCTTGGATCCTGTCTGCCGAAAGTGGCCAATGTCAGAAGGAACAAACAGAACAGTGATTCCTTCTCTGTCACCCATTCCCAGCCTCTGACAAACAGTCTAGGGACACCATCCCTATGCATCCTGGCTAATAAGTATTGATGGGCCTAACCTCCATGAAGGTATCTAGTTCTTTTTTGAATGCTGTTAAAGTCCTGGCCTTCACAACATCCTCTGGCAAGGAGTTCCACAAGTTAACAGTGCACTGTGTGAAGAAAAATGTCCTTTTGTATGTTTTAAACCTGCTACTGACTTATTGGTTAATCGTTTAAATGACCATATGCTAACATCCCTCATAAGGACAGCCCTGTTTCTGGATCCTACGGTATGGAACCCTAATTGATACACACAAATGCTAGTGCCTGATTCAATTGTAGGCTTCCCATTGTTTATTTGCCAAAACAACCATAATCAGAAAGACTGACCATATGTTTAATCTGCATGATACCCATCGAAATCTATGGATGTGAAGTTAACCCAAACAAGTTTTACCAAATGACCCCCTCCACTCACCCCGATGGGTGTTTCTGAATCTCTAAATGCCAAAATCAATGCAAAATACACTATGTTTCCATTTCAGTGAGACATGTGATTTACACTGTTGAATTAGCCCAGTGCATCCCTAACATAGTAGTATAAATTAAATAAGCAACAATGGAAACGGTTTAAGGGCATATGAGACAAAGAATTAGAAATATATATATATACACATCCCTTCTTGAGTACAATTCTATATCATGCCCTTACATAAAGCAATTTCCCACAATTAGAATTCTTTATATTTTCACTTTCCCTGGATGCACCATAGACAGGTTTAGTTGGCATGCTGACGTCAGTAGTACTTCCCGGATCTTTTGCTTAAAAATACAGAGGTGCTCTCTGGGCCAACAGTCACAGCTCCTGAGAGTCAAACTCACGGCCCTAACTGGGTGAGCGGAAGCGTTTCTCAGTCTCCGGAGTCATTTTGATGCAAGTCGCTCTCCTAAAGCTCTCGACATGAGTCGGAGTTCGGAAGAGGTGGGTTCTAAATTCCTTACTCTAAGAATGACTTTTGGACTGTAAAGCTCAAATCCTGTAGAAGGTTATTCGTCATTTTTATTACAGTATAATCTTATTCCCTAATAAATGAAAACCAGGCTATGAAAAGCACCCCCCCCTTGCTCCCTTGATGACACAGTTAATACCTGCAACATACCTGATACAGGTTGAACCTCTCTAGTTTGGTGCCTTTAGGACCTGACAGGTGCCGAACCAGAGAATTTTCTGGACCACGGGAGATCAAAATTGTCTAGCAGCATGACAGACACTGCTACTGCTTGCTGGGCTGTTATTGAGGGGTAAATTAGAGCTAAAGAACAGCACAGAGCCAGGACTGGTGGCTATAAACAAACTTTATGGGACTGCAGGGAATTTGGCCACGCTCGTAAGCAGGCATCTGGCTAATTCAAATCATGCCGGATTACGGGTGTTGCTGGACTAGAGAGTTCTGGCCGAGAGAGGTTCAACCTGTATATTATATCAAGGCATGTTGACTATACAACCATTTCCAGTTATTCTCATTGGTTAGTTGACAGCGACGGGTGAACTACTCTGCAAGCAGAGTTACCTGTAAACGAGTATGTCATCCGAAGAGCTGTTATATTGAATCTGGTACATTCGTATCCCTGGGATGTGATGCTGGGAAGGCCACTGGATGAGAGCAGAAGATGAGGAGAGCTCAGCAACCACGACCTTCTTTCCCTGGTGAGCCTTCGTTTCGTTAGGGAAACTCGACTTAGCAGATATAAGACTGTCGGACGGGCCCGACTCGGCGTCTTTCTCGCAGTTGGTACTGTTCGCAAGCTGGGGGTAAGGGTTAACAACAAGTTCGACGAGCGCTGTCGATTCTCCTGCTGCATTCGATGCTATGCAGGTAAACGTGCCTTTATCTGTCAAAGACGTAGCCAGAATATCCAAAGTTCCATTCTCGTAGGAAATTGTCCTGGACGTATTGGAGACCAGCTTCCCCTCGGGTGAGATCCAGCGAACGTAGGGATCTGGGTCACCCACCGCTTTGCATTTTAAAGAGATGTTCTGGCCCTCCATAACCACCAGCTTTGGCGTCCGATGCGTTATCATGGGAGGCTCGCAGACAAACTCGTCCTCTTTAATGGACCAGAAGTACTTGCCCATCAAGTCTGGTGGCGAGGCACACGTTTCTAGATCGTCTTCTCTGGTCAGGCGTCTCAGCCACACTAATTCACAGTTGCAGTGCAGCGGGTTCCCTCCAAAGCTCAGCACCAGAGAAGACAATGGTGACCCTTTCGATTTAGCATACACGGGGATTCTGGAGAACAAAGGGTCGGGGGGGATTTTTTTCAATTTGTTGGAGGTCATGTCCAACCGAGCAAGTTTGTGAAGGTTAGAGAAGATTCCTTCTGGAACAAACTCAATGAGGTTGTGATCCAAACTGATCGTATTGACGCTAGAAAGCCTCCCAATTGTATCCCAAGGAATATTAACAAGATTATTATAGGATAGATCCAGGTCCTCGAGTGTTTCGAGAAAGTCATCCAAAGATCCAGGAGAAATATAGTTTATTTGATTGTTACTGAGTATTAAGTGGCGGAGATTAATTAACCCTTTGAAATGATCCTCATCAATACAAGTCAGCCGGTTACTGTCCAAATGTAACGCATGAAGGCCTTTAAGATCAAAAAATGCATATGGCATGATTTGACTTATTGTATTTCTCGAGAGCGTCAAGTGAATAAGGTTCGTCATGTTTGCAAAATCTTTTCTTCGAAGGGTGGTGATGAAATTATCCATTAATCTGAGCTCTGCTGTTCTCCTGTCAATACTGGGGGGCACGAAGAGAAGCCCCGTCTTGGTACAGAGGATGGTGAAGGATGGAGAGAGGTTTTGACACATACACCGTTTGGGACACATCATGGCTTTCACGGCAGTGCTAATAACCAGTAGAGAGACAACCAACCTCTCCATGGTAAGTCAGAAAGCAAACCTAAAGGAGAAAACAAGAAATCCAGATGAAGCCATGTTGAGGACACACATTTTGAAGGATTATTTACATCTAAACATCGATTACATATTTGGAAGAGTTTGTTTGTGCAAAATCAAGTCATTCTTCCCAATTACCTCCAGATACCACATTTTGCATACACAATCCTGCCCCTTAAATTAGCGGAACGCACTACTTTTTACACCGGAATATGCTGGGCGAAAGGCTTAAATAATTATTTTTTGTTTTCATCAGGAAAAAAACGCCATGGCTATTATGATTGGAGTTCATAAAAAATATTGGCTAACAAACTTCACATCGCGTCGCCGATTGCGCTGTCCTTTTAGTGCAAAGAAAAGGCTGACGGTTACCAATCACAAAATAATTCAAATTAGTTACGGAAAGAAGAATGGAAAAAGCGTTACGAGCTTCTGATTCAAATTAACTAGGTATGGTAATGAGTCAATAAAATGAATCATATTTGAAGCTGAAATCCTACAAATTTAAAAGCTGTTCTTTTACTTCCCTTTTGCAAGCACTTTAATAAAAAAAATCCATGACATGTATTTCATTTCTTGAACTTTCCTGTAAGTGTAATCTACACAAAATGATTTTGTCCGTCAACAATGAGCCTCCCCTGCTGGTTTGTTCGAATTACGGCTCCTGAACAAATCTGATATTCAACCCTAGGCATTACTGAAATGACTTAATTGATCATGTTAGGCTGAGAATCTGTCGAGAGCGGCTATTAAAATTCTGAGTTCACTTGATCTGCTCCTCTTGTCATAAGAGCTCGCAGGCCGGATTGTAAAGCAAAAGTGCACTGCTCTCTAAGGCTATGTCTACTCTGCAGCATTATTTCGAAATAACGTGAGTTATTTCGAAATAAAGTGTGTGTCTACACAGCAAGCCATTATTTCGAAATATTGTCAAGATGGCCGACTTCTTCCTCTGACTTCTGCACCCCTCATTTCACGAGGGGAAAGGGAAGTCGAAGGAAGACAGTTCTTCCTTCGACTTCCTGCCGTGTAGACAGCGCGAAAAGCTGAGCGAAGCTACTTCGACCTCAGCTACGCAACTGACGTCGCTGAAGTAACGTCTCTTAATTCGACTTTTGGTCCTGCAGTGTAGACATACCCGGAGGTCAACCGAGGTGATTAAGACCACAGAAGAAGTCTGTGATTGGTGGGGACCGAAACATTGCTCTTGATAGTCCATTCCTTCTCCTTCCAGGAGCTAGCTTGTCATGACAAGATTAACGACGGCTTTGGAAGTGACTTGTCTTGCCTTATAAATTGCAAGGAAGCGGTCGCAAGGGAGGTGAAGACTAGGGGAAAGAAATAGAATAAAGTGCTGGGTTTAATTTATGAGGATCTGTTTGTTTACAAGCACCTGACGCAGCCAGATGTAAAGATATTTCTCTCTCTCTCTCTCTCTCTCACACACTCACACACACACACACACACACACACACACTCTCTCACACACACACACACACACACTCTCCCCCCCAATACTGGACTGTATAACAACACCCGCCCCCCACCGTCATAAGTAAAAATTGATGCTAGCAGGCAGAAGCAACACAAGACTCTATTTCTGCCCTAAATGCCTAAGAAATGAACAGTGCTTTCTCGGAAGGTTAATAACATCAGAACAGCCAGACTGGGTCAGACCCAATGGTCCATCCACCCAATATCCTGTCTGCCGACAGTGGCCAATACTAGGAGCTTCAGAGACAATGAACAACAGCAACGGCAATTAACGAGTGATCCGTGCCCTGTAGCCAGTCAGACATTTCAGGAGGCCCCAATCCAGTTAGGTCCATCAATGGCTATTAACCTATCCATCATGAAATTCTCTAATTCTTTTTGGAGCCCATTATACTGTGGGTCTTCACATCACCCCCGGCACCGGCAAGCGTGTTGTGTGGAGAAATGCTTCCTTGTGTTTGTTTGAAACCTACCTTGCTTTGTAAATTCAGGAGGTGATCCCGGGGTCTTGTGCTAGGTGAAGGGGGGAATAAGACGTCACTTTCGCCATACACTACTCACGATTGTACAGCCCTGTGGTGTAGAACCATGGAACACGAGAACTGGCAGGGACTGCGAGAGTCCCGGAGTCCCGGCCCCTGCCCTCACGGCAGGACCAAGCACCGTCTAGACCATCCCTGGCAGGTGTGTGCCCAACCTGCTCTGCAATATCTCCAGGGATGGAGATTCCACAACCCCCCAGGCAATTTATCCCAGTGTTTCACCACCCGGACAGGCAGGAAGTTTTCCCTAAAACCTAAACCTCCCTGCTGCAGTTTAAGCCCACTGCTTCTTGTCCCATGCTCCAAGGGGAACAATTTTTCTCCCTCCTCCTTGTAGCATCCCGTTAGATACTTGAAAATTGCTATTATGCCCCCTCTCGGTCTTCTCTTTTCCGAACTAACCAAACCCGATTCCTTCACTCTTCCCTCCCAGCTCACATTCTCTAGACCTTAAATCATTTGGGAACTGCATTCTGGGACTGGGCCCAGAAGCAGCCAGCTCCCAACCAATGGGCGTGCGGAGCTAGTGATCAGGAGGGGGGCAGTGCACGGAGCCCTGTGCACTCTCCCCCCCACCTAGGAGCTGGGCCTGTTTATGGCTGCTTCTGGGGTGCAGCGCAGTCTGGGGTGCCAAGACAGGCACCGGCCTTAGCACCCCCGAGTGACATTCCACCGCCCTAGGCTGGGTCGCGACCCCTCGTTTGAAAACCACCGAGGCTTGATCATCCAGTGGGCACATGGGTTGTCTGGCAGGCTGCCTGCTTCCGATGCACTTACAAATCCTCTTGCGATAGTTTGTCTCTTGCAAGTCGCTCTTCAAATTCCTTTTTTGGCCTGCTTAATTATACGTTTGCCCTTGACTTGCTAGAGTTCAGGTGCTGATTTTCCCCAGGAGTGCTTCACTTCCAATTCTTACAGGATGCCTTTCTGCCTAGAACAGGGGCGAGCCAATACCGGCTCACGAGCTGGATCCAACCAGCTCTGAGAAGACATGGAGGGGTAAATTAGAGCCAAACAACAGCACAGGACTGGTGGCTGTAAAAAACTTTACAGGACTGCGGGAAACTTGGCCACCGCCATGAAAAGCGGAACATCCGGCTCACTCAAATCATTCCGGACAGCCAGAGAGTTCTGGATTAGAGAGGTTCAACATGAATGTCGGAAAAGTACAGAATTCCAGAAAACCTCTTTCCAGAAAAAAGGCGCAATGTAATATTACTATATCTAAATCCACTGTCGCTGGTTTAAAAATCAAATTTTCTGTTTCCATTGTTGCGGTACTTCCCTCTCCTACTCTGCAAATGACTGTGATTTTGGAAAAATTATCACCACCAGGAGCAGAATTAAATCCCTTTGCACATATCCCTCGAGATACATGGCATTTGAGATCCTGTACATCCGTCTGAGTATCCATTAGGTTCCAATTAGGCCAGGATCACAGACACAAAAATCCCTAAAGAGGAACACAGAGTCATTACGTTATTTGGTAGGAAAGTTTGGGGATGCCTGACGTCTTCAAATTCACCAAAGCTGTATTGCAAACTAAAGTGCAGCTCCCAGCTCTCTATTCTCCGGTGTTTTGCCCTGTTTTGTTTTAAGTTTCACGCACAACAGTGTTTCTACTCCTTGCTTTGGGAGAATTTGCTACACCCCAACAAAAAATAAAAGACGTTTTCCCTGACATTCAGCTTCCAAATTCCTTTGTCAGTTTGACCTCCCTCCCCGCCCCCTCCAGTTCTCTCATTAAGTTTTCCCCTCCTGGTGGTTCCATGCTAATCCCTTCATCTGTTTCAACCCAGTCAGCTGCTGTGGAGTGAACTTGTGCCTAATCACAGTAGCTCTTCACAATCTATCGCCATTAACTCCATCCTTCTGGGTCTAGCACCACAATTACAAAGAGAGATTGTTGCACACTTCCAGTGTGACAGAAATAGCAACACTCGTTAGCATTTCTAGCAACTCTATTTCTGTCAAACCCAATGAAAGCCGAGTGCGTTACGACCGGCAGAAAAATGGCTTGCTTCTCCCACGGAAGATGGACATCTGGCCACTTTCAAGACAAAGTGGCGCAGCTGTGAAACTATACACCGGAATGCTACACACCACGTTAAGCTTTGAAACCCAGTGGAACTTAACGGAAGGCAAATGGCAGCACAGGACCTGAAATTGGACTAATTCCCTGCATTAAGAGTCCCAAGTGGTTAAAAAAGACACAGGCTCTTAATGGGTTACGTCTAGGGTCCTACCAAATTTACAGCCATGAAAAACACATCACAGCCTGTGAAATCCGGTCTTCCACAGTGAAATCGGGTCTTGTGTGCTTTGGTCCTCGACTACAGGTTGAACCTCTTTAATCTGGCACTCTCTGGTCCGGCAACATCCATTCTGGCACGAGTTGAGTGAGCTGGGAGTCCACTTTTCATGAGTTTGGCCAAGTTTCCCGCAGTCCCATAAACTTTGTTTACAGCCACGAGTTCTGGTGCTCGGTGTTTTGTGCTGTTATTTAGCTCTAAGTTACCCCGCAGTGTCTTCCCAGAGCCCAGCAAGCAGCGGAAGTGTTGGTAACTCTGCTAGACAATACTGACCTCTGTGGTTCAGCAAATTCTCTGGTTCGGCACCAGTCAGGTCCCCAGGGCGCCGGACTAGAGAGGTTCAACCCAGGGAAGACCAGCATTTCTCAAATTGGGGATCCTGTCCCAAAAGGGAGATGCAGGGGAGTCACAGGGTTATTTTAGGGCAGTCATGGCTTACTTCTGCAGCCAGAGGGCGGTGGCCATTGGCCAGGCACGCCGCTCTGCAGGCAGCACACCCCCAGCAGCAGCGCAGAAGCAAAAGTGGCAACACCACCCCTTGCCAGCCTTACTTCTGCCCCGCTGCTGGCAGTGGCTTTGCCTTCAGAGCTGGGCACCCAGCCAGCAGCCGCTGCTCTCCAGCTGCTCAGCTTTGAAGGCCGAGCTGTCACGAGCCG